ATATATTACAGGAAAAATATTACCTCAATATTTGGTTTTTTGTTGTAAACAAATACATATGATCTGTTAAAATAAAAACATCAAGGTCTCTGTGGATCAGTTTTAATAATTATTATTACTAGGATCCACCGGATTATATTTCAACAGATCGATTAGCTGTACTCTCTCTCTCTCTCTCTCTCTCTCTCTATATATATATATATATATATATATATATATATATATATATATATATCACTGCTACTAATGGTAGACTCATATATATATATATGTGTATATATATATATATATATATGTGTGTGTATTACTACTAATAACGAAAGACTCTTCTGGAAAACGAAACAAGTTCACTCAGTCACTGTGTGTTTATTTAAAAATAAATACGCTTTAATTTATCTTCATCCCTGACGTGTGTCAACAGCTTAGGGGTAGAATCTCCGACTAAGACTATTTCAGTTGGGTTTTGATCCTAGCCATTCGTTGTCCTAGATGACCATTGACCCTACAGAAAGTTTGATTCACCACTTAAAAGGTCTTCATTTTTATATGTGCTTGGTGCTCACCAGATTTGTTTTTATTGTTACATCTTAAGAAAGGCGATAAGGCCACTAAGACGCAATGGGTTACTGAAAATGAAAAAAATACTTGGTCTTGTAATTTTTCTAGACAAGATTGCCTGCATATCTAAAATAAACTTGCACTATAAAACTCTATTTCGAGTGGCGCTTGGGACTTGTACACAGTGACTAGTATTTTAAAAAAATCATTCATGAGTGGCCTGTCTTCGGTAAGTAGCACTTCAGGATAAACTACAGTCCTTCTTGAAGGTGCGTCATTGTCTCGGACCTGTAACCTGTGATTTAATCGAGGAAAGTCTCTGACCTGGTCGTTGAAATCAGTCTGGGAAGCCGTTTGTCTAGCAATATCGTGTCACTGATTGCATATATTAACGATGGCGTCCGGGCCAGCCGTTCTCCTAGATGACCATTGACCCTACAGAAAGTTTCATTCACTACTTAACAGGTCTTTTTTTTATATATGTGCTTGATGATTAGCCAGATTTTTTTTTAATTGTTACACCTTAAGAAAGGCGATAAGGCCACTAAGATGCAATGGGTTACTGAGAATGAAAAAATGGTTGGATCTTGTAATTTTTCCAGACAAGATTGCCTGCATGTCAAAAAATTAAAAATAAAATTAAGTGACCATTTAAAAGGATTTTGGAGATTCTATTTTCACGAAATTGACATCATCTTTTTTGTAGGAAAAATACAGAATGTTTGTTGCAGATTTAGTGTTTGTATTATTTTTTACACATTTTATATCATTATTTGCGATTGATTCTAATATTGGTTGGAATATGACTATCTCATATCAGTCAGTTATGTGCCATACGTGATACACGCTTAAGGCGATCATGTATATTTCGATACATGTCTGACGAAGCAGATTTTTTTCCGCAGTAGGTTGCCATTTCTGCGTTAGAGCAGTTGCCATCCAAGGCTATAGAACTCGGTCTGTCCTGCTATTTATCCTTGGCTGTGGGGAGAAGATGAGGATTCATACCTTTTCCAAGGGTATTTGCACATAAGTGAATGTAATAGATTCGACTGGAATTCGAACTCGGCTCTCCGATTCCTCAATCCGAGCCGATATCCATTACTCCTCTCTCATATACTATGTTAATTAAGGACCTATTTTCTTATAAATGCAGGTTTCTAGTTCTTCCCAGGTTTGGAAGTTGATACTGTACCTTTTCTCCATCGTATTTTTCGGTTGAAGCTTACAACGACGCATCAAGCAGCCGTGGGGGTCTTTGGCCAACGCTGGTTTTCAGTGCAAAAGATTTGACGCAGGTGTTTGCCACTGTCTGAATGGTAGATAAAAAAATATTAGATTTTTGTTGACACTCAAGACAAGATAGAGTTAATGCGATTCATTTTGGCGCTGGATGTCTTTTTGTATCTTTGCAAACAATCGATGTAGTTTTTGCTTTCTTATACTGACTAACTATTGTCTTCGAAGGAGTTTAACACTGATTTTGTTACGTGTAAACTTCATATGATAAAATATAATGTAAGTTGATATTTTTCCCTAGTTTTGTAGGTTGAAAAATTGGGTCTAAAAATGAGGAATTGCTTCTAACTTATCATTGGTTGAAATTCAATGTTGTTAATTTTGTTATTCAACAAATCAAGAGGGGGAAAACATAGATATTTTACGATGATTTCTATCTTCAGTTTTTCTAAACAAAATCGTCGGCAAATGTTACAAAACATAGCGACCTTTTCGAGGACACTGATTGGTAAAAAAAATCAGAACAAAAACGTTCAAGAAATTTGGCAATCCAGATTTCGATGTTTCTGGACCCTCTTTTTTAGAACCAAAAAACATATACAGGTTTGTCACATCTATGCATAAGACAAATCGAATAAAATAGCGAATTTTTCACTGTTATTTTAACGGACGAATATTGAGCTCTCCATAAGTGGACAAACAAAGGGAGACAATATTAGGTTCATATTTTTGAAAATAATCTTCGTAAGTCCTGTGAGTGAAATTCAGTAAACGGGACTATGGCGGGAGACATCGATGGTTGTTCTAGCACGAAGTCACATGTCATCGGGAACTAGTGTTTGAAGGTGAAACAATATCATCGGCAAATATCAGAAAATGTAGCGACCTTTTCGATGACATTGATTGGTAAAAAAATCAAAATAAAAGCTCACAGAGAATAAAAAAAAAATGAAAAGACTTTAGTGGGGAGGATTGAGGAAAGGACAATAAAATAACAGCGTCCAAGAAGACAGAAGATAGCGACTGACATTGCATTTAATATTTTGAAGATTGTAGTTATCAGGACATCGGAAAGGGATACCACAAATGAAAACTGTTAGGGTAGAAGAAATGGTTGTATTTAACTATTTCAACAGAAAAAAACAGTGGGACCTAATTGACAATCTAGTAGTACGCTTCGATTTATACAGTCTGGACACCAGGGAAAAAGCTCGCCAGAAAAGTTGCCATAAAAATATTCGTAGAAAAGACAAAGGGAAGCAATGTCACGTCGGTGAGAAAGTTACTGAAGTCGAGATGCCAGGTCAGGATCTATTAAATTGCTGACCCTTCTTTGGATTTTGTCAAGATTCTTAATGCTGGTCGGGTAACCGGTATTGTTGTTGTTAACCCACCCATGTACCTAGGAATGGGGCACAGAAACGGTGGATGAAAATGATAGGAAGATCTTAATGTTTGTGCTTGAAGGATTTCACGAGATGCCACATTAGGAAGATCAAAACTCTCCAGGTAGGCAATCCATCTAAAGAAGACGTCTCGATTAAAAACAACCAAAGCCTAGCAGCCATAGGTTGCTGTGTTAACAGAGAGTTATAAGTCCTTAAATTATGCGCAGATAGAAGCTCTTCAGAGTAGCTTAACATCCCTCGATGTTTGTACTGGTACGTTGTTACAGGTCCGCAACTTATTGGTAGATTGAAGACCTTTAAAGTAGACTGTCACCCGTTGAATGATGTGGTAGCATGATGTCACGGGTCAGGTACTAATGGTATATTGACGCCCTTTAGAGCAGACTCACCCGTCGCTAGATGTGCTAGAAAAATATCACAGATTCTCAACTAATGGGTAGATTGAAGCCATTTAAAACAGGCTGGCACCAGTCACTTGATTTCCTCGTACGTTGTTACAGGTCGGCAACTAATGGGTAGATTGAAGCCATTTAATGCAGCATGACACCCGTCAATGCAGCATGGCTTTTCCTCGTACGTTGTTACTGATTTCCTCGTTGTTACAGGTACGTTGTTTTCTCGTACGTTGTTACAGGTCGGCAAATAATGGGTAGATTGAAGCCATTTAATGCAGCATGACACCGTCGTTGTTACACTTGATTTCCTCGTACGTTGTTACAGGTCGGCAACTAATGGGTAGATTGAAGCCATTTAATGCAGCATGGCACCCGTCACTTGATTTCCTCGTACGTTGTTACAGGTCGGCAACTAATGGGTAGATTGAAGCCATTTAATGCAGCATGGCACCCGTCACTTGATTTCCTCGTACGTTGTTACAGGTCGGCAACTAATGGGTAGATTGAAGCCATTTAATGCAGCATGACACCCGTCACTTGATTTCCTCGTACGTTGTTACAGGTCGGCAACTAATGGGTAGATTGAAGCCATTTAATGCAGCATGACACCCGTCACCTCGTACGTTTTCCTAATGGGTAGATTAGAAATATTTAATGATTTCCGGCAACTCGTGGCACCCGTCGTTGTTTGTTACAGGTCGGCAACTAATGGGTAGATTGAAGCCATTTTTCCTCGTGTACGTTGTTGTGCAGGGTAGATTGAAGCATGGCACCCGTCAATTTGATTTCCTCGTACGTTGTTACAGGTCGGCAACTAATGGGTAGATTGAAGCCATTTAATGCAGCATGACACCCGTCACTTGATTTCCTCGTACGTTGTTACAGGTCGGCAACTAATGGGTAGATTGAAGCCATTTAATGCAGCATGACACCCGTCACTTGATTTCCTCGTACGTTGTCACAGGTCCGCATCTAATAGATAGTTTTATGCCCTTAAATACAGGCTGTTACCCGTCACTGGGTGACGTTGTGTCGGCAACTAACATTTGAAGCCATTTAATGCAGCATGTATGTTGTTACAGACAGGTCCGCAACTAATCGAGTAGATTTGTTACAGGTCGGCAAAATGGGTAGATTGAAGCTTTTAATGCAGCATGGCAATTTAAAGATAGAAGCTAGCGCCCTTCTAATGATGTTGCTTTAGTACATTGTCACAGGTCTGCAACTAATTCCTAGTTTGAAGTCATTTTAAAGTAAGCTGACACCCGCCGCTAGATGTGCTAGTAAGATGTCACAGGTTCGCAACTAATGGGCAGATTGAAGCTATTTAAAACATGCTGGCACCCTTCACTGGATTTCCTGGTACGTTGTTACAGGTCCGCAACTAATAGGTAGTTTGATGCCCTTAAATGCAGGCTGTCACCCGTCGCTGGATGTGCTAGTTCATTGTCACCGGTCCTCTGCGTTTGGCCAAATAGACGCTCTTTTGCTTTTGCTGACAATCTATCTAAAGACGATATCTCGATGGAAATATCCATCAGCCTTTTCGTTCATTGTGTCTATTGGTCTAAAAATTGACATAGTTAAAATAAAGATTGTCTCGCGAGTTCGTAATTAGCCACTGGCATTAATCGCGCAACTGGAGGATGATGATTTTTGGCATAAGAAACTGACCAATGCTGTTACAATATTTAATAAAATAAATTCCCAATTTCTACAGATTGGTGTTCGGGCTCTGCTGAAGACGAAAAATCGAATGTTGGTTTTCTAGACAAGCAGCTCGTAAACACAATCTTCTTCCCTCCATTTCAACGTTCAGTTGGCTTGCACCGAAATAAAGTGATATTAGCAATTATAAATTAAGCTTGTTTGGTTTCCCAGGCTTTCCTCCGGAGATTGGCGCAACACTGTCTTACTTGTCTCATTTCCACACTCATTTGAACTTACCCTGAAACTAGTAATTATAAATAATCCTTGCATCGAGGTTGTCTTAATCATATATTTCTTTAACATTTACTTGGATGACTGGCGCAACACAATCTTCCCTGTCCCTTTTCCATATGCTTTTTTTACGCGTATGCCGTACTAAGTTAAGTTTAGTAATTATAAAACGACTTGAGGTGGATATAGTAATGTATTTCTCTGGTTGTTTGACATTGGCGCAACACAGTCTTCTTTGATCTATACCCACTCCTTATTGGCTTTGTGCCATACTATCTAAATTAGAAATAATACCTGGCTCGATGTTGACATAGTTGCGTATTTCTCAGGTTGTACGTGTAAAGTTGGTGCAACTAAATCTTCTTTTCTCCATCCCCACTAAAATTGATCTTTTTTTAAGGCAAATTCACCCCAAGCAAGGCGAGAGTGCCACAAGGGGTTACAGAGGGGAGAGAACAAGAGTAAAGAGTCGTGTTTGAGGAAAGGATACAGAGAAGGACGGGGAGCAAACTCAAGGTGTCAGATGTCGATTGATATTACACTTGATATTTGAAGATCATAGTCATCGGGGAAGCAAGTAAGGGGAAGGGAGTTCAGCAGATGGGAAATGCGAGAGAAGAAGCTGTTTGAGAAGAAGAGACTGTTACATTTAACCTTTTTGACAGTGAAATGGTGGGACCGAGATGCCAGCCTAGTAGCTCGCTTAAATTCATACAGTCCGAGAACCAGAGAAAGTAGCTCACCGGTACAGTTGCCGTGAAAATATTTGTAGGAGAGACAGAGGGAGGCTACAGCACGTCTGTGGGATAGCAATTGTAGACTAGATACCAGATCAGGACCTATCATCTTGGATATCCTTCTCTGGATTTTGTCAAGGACCTAGAGACGTACAGCTGGAGCAATGCGTGCTATTAAGTTAAGGTTAGTAATTGCTATCAATTAATTGCCTTGTTGGTGAGATAATTGTCCAGGTTTTATTTGGTAGTTTGGCGTAACACATTCTTACTTTGTTTTATTTCTGTTTCTTTTCTTGATACATATTTGTACTAAAAATAGCTACGTTAAGGCGGAAGTATGAAGAATTTCCTGGTCAGGCAGTTTTTTTTTTCTTTGCATTTTGAGATCTTTCGTGTATGTTCCGGGAAACGATATGCGTTTAGTTGGCTCCAGGGATGCAATATTATTAATTCTGTGCCCGTTACTGCTGGCCCAGAAGTAGGCTTTTATGTGTTTCGTTCCTATCTTTAACAACTGTATCACACAATGTCCTCACGATTTTTATTTCATATTTTTATGACGAGCATATATCGAGTGTTTTGGGCCAAAGAGAAGAATTCCGCCACAGGTCATCTATTCGAATTATCTGCGTAGACATCGCAGTAAATATGGCGATGAAGATAATATTAATTGACCCTCGAGGTCACACAAAACCCTCAACGTCATAGGGTTTTTTTTTTTTATTTTTTGTGCAGATCGTTTCTGAGATGGGAATTTATAAAGGCCGATTTTACAGCAAGTGAATATATAAAAATGAAATATAAGTCCATGTTCTGATGCCTTAAAAAAAGGACTAGTGCATTCTGGGAAAATAAGAGATAGAGGGAAAAAGAAAGAGAAAATAGCCGATTATCAAAATGTGTCACACGAAAGAGCTTATTAAGAAGAAGGAAAACCAATCGACACTGGTTTGCACCGAAATAAAATGAAACGAAAAATCAAACAGTTTTGAGAAGACATAGAAAGGAAATTAAGAAAGCGAGAAGAAAGGACTATGCACCAACTGCTGGAAGATAGAATGAAGGGTTGTCAGTCAAAATGGATAAAGTGACATTCTAATTAAAAATGAGTACAGGCATGTACTACAATTTAAATATCTGAAACAACATCTTCTTCATCATCTGTATGCCGTTCAGGCGATCATGGCTCTCCACAATTTCCCGTCCTTTGTAGCTCTTAAAAGATTTTATCTTTTTGGTATCTTTCCTTGTTCCGCGATCCATTTACTCAAAATCATTCTTCTTCTTCTATGCGCCGTGTCCCTTCCGGACGTTGGCGATCATGGCTCTCCACAATTTCCTGTCCTTTCTGGCTACTAATAAAATGTTAGCTATTTGTTATTTCTCCGCCATCAATTTACTAAAGATCATTCTTCTTCTTCTAAGCGCCGTGTCCCTTCAGGACGTAGACGATCATGGCTCTCAACAATTTCCTGTCCTTTGTAGCTCTTAATAAATTTTGTCTTTTTGTTATCTGTCCTGAACCTTGTTCTGCCATCCATTTACTCAAACTCATTCTTCTTCGTCTATGTGTCGTGTCCCTTCAGAACTTAGGTGATCATGGCTCTCCACAATTTCCTGTTTTTTGTAGCTCAATATTTTTTTCTTTTTGTTATCTCTCCTAACCCTTGTTTCGTCATCCATCTAATCAAGCTCATTTTTCTTCTATATGCCGTGTCCCTACAGCAGGTAAGCGATCATGGCCCTCCACAATTTCCTGTCCTTCTGAGCTCTTAATAAATTTTGTCGTATTAAAGTGAGTGAGGGTAAGACAACAAGAATGATAGCTAATTGTAAACTAGAAGAGGTCAAAATTTAATTAGGGAATAAAATTCAATGTTCAAGTGGAAACGTTAGAAGTATAGTTGAAGTAGACTTTAGACGGAATAAGAAACCCAATCCTAAACAGGAAACAAGGGATAAACCACTACTCCTATTCAAAAAACCTATCTACTCCTACTGAAGGAAGAAAATAAATAAATAACATTTCAGAGATTAGGCGGAGACGTTAGACGTATAGAGTTGAAGTAGACTTTAGAAGGAACCGAAACCCAATCTAAACAGAAAACAAGGATAAAACCTCTACTCCTATTCAAAAAACCTATCTACTCCTACTGAAGGAAGAAAATAAATAAATAACATTTCAGAGATTAGGCGGAGACGTTAGACGTATAGAGTTGAAGTAGACTTTAGAAGGAACCGGAAACCCAATCCTAAACAGAAAACAAGGGATAAACCTCTACTCCTATTCAAAAAACCTATCTACTCCTACTGAAGGAAGAAAATAAATAAATAACATTTCAGAGATTAGGCGGAGACGTTAGAAGTATAGAGTTGAAGTAGACTTTAGAAGGAACCGGAAACCCGATCCTAAACAGAAAACAAGGGATAAAACTCTACTCCTATTCAAAAAACCTATCTAATCCTACTGAAGGAAGAAAATAAATAAATAACATTTCAGAATTTAGGCGGAGACGTTAGAAGTATAGAGTTGAAATAGAAAACGGAAATTGAAACGGAAATTCAATCCTAAACAGGAAACAAGGGATAAACCTCTACTCTTATTCAAAAGACTGGTGAGGATTTTCAAGAATATGTTGAACATTATTTGCGCAAGCCTGCTTATGTTTAATTCTTTTATGTATAACATTCGAAAGGAAAAATGAACCACGACTGTTCAAATGTTTACTTTTAAAAGAAAATATCAAAGATGATCAAATGTTATTTCGTATGAAAATGGCGGTGCAATTGAATTGAATTGCAACAAATAGTACCAAATTACACTCTCTGTTATAGAATCTGTAGGATGACCGGAATTCAGCTAGCAGAATTTTGACAAGAATCGATAGTTAAAACGAACGTAGACAATCAACAAGGATGAAAGACTGTGTCAATACGGTTAGTCGCTCACGGATTACTTCGTGCGACAAGCCAACACTTGTTGATAGGGAGCTGATCAACAGGTTGACTTCAGTCATCTCCCCCTCCTATTGTCCCGTCTTCTATCAAACAATGCTACAACGAGGGTCTGCCATGTAATAAGCGAGTGAAAGTAAAGTATCTGTTGTTGATTAAGTCAAGAAAAAGCGTCAAAGGATCGTCCAGTAGATACGGTGGGAGAAAAAGCGAGTTCTCTTTTAGTCGCAACTTTCTCGATCGTATTATTCTAGAACAGACTTTGGACTCGATTCACACCAGACCATCGCGAAAAGCAGTTGCAGTGTAAATCTGAGATGAGCCACCAGCCGATTGATCTTGTGATAATATCTATATAGTTCACTCTGCATCTATCTATCTATCTATCTATCTATCTATCTATCTATCTATCTATCTATCTATCTATCTATCTTCTGTTCCTGATAGCTCCTATCTATCTATCTATCTCTTTATTCTTTCTATCTTTCTTTCTTTCTTTTCTTTCATTCTTTCAAGTCTATCTATCTGTCATCTATCTATCTATCTATCTATCTATTTCAGAGTCTTTCTTTTCTTTCTTTCTTTCTTTCTTTCTATCTTTCAGGGAGTCTTTTTCTTTCAGAGAGTCTATCTATCATCTTCTATCTATCTATTCTTTCTTTCTTTCTTTCTTTCTTTCTTTCTTTCAGAGAGTCTATCTATCTATCTATCTATCTATCTATCTATCCGAGATCCTTTTTCTTTCTTTCTTTCTTTTTCTTTTCTTCTTTCTTTCTTTCTTTCAGGAATCTATCTATCTATCTATCTATCTATCTATCTATCTATCTATCTATCTATCTATCTATCAACCAGAGATTCTTTCTTTCTTTCTTTCTTTCTTTCTTTCTTTCTTCCTTTCTTTCTTTCTTTCTTTCTTTCTTTCTTTCTTTCTTTCAGAGAGTCTTTCTTTTTGTCAGAGAGTCTATCTATCTATCTATCTATCTATCTATCTATCTATCTATCTATCTATCAACCAGAGATTCTTTCTTTCTTTCTTTCTTTCTTTTCTTTCTTTCTTTCTTTCAGAGAGTCTTTCTTTCTGTCAGAGAGATATCTCTATATCTATCTATCTATTCATCTATCTATATATATCTATCTATCTATCAACCAGAGAGTCTTTCTTTATTTCTTTATAACGAGCTAGATAGCTAGCTATAAACTGTTCTTATGTATGTATATATATGTATGTGTGCATATACCTAAATATTTCCGCTTGTAATCTGTCTATCTTGGTTTCTTCATAATATCCGTCTGCCCGTCTATCTTTCTTCTGTTTCTTTCTTGCTTGCTTGCTATCTATCTATCTATCTATCTATCTATCTATCTATCTATCTATCTATCTATTGCAGTCTGTTCATATCTATCTATCTATCTATCTATCTATCTATCTATCTATCTATCTATCTATCTATTGCAGTCTTTTCAGTATCTATCTATCTATCTATCTATTGCAGTCTTTTCAGTATCTACCTATCTATCTATCTATCTATCTATCTATCTATCTATTGCAGTCTTTTCAGTATCTATCTATCTATCTATCTATCTATCTATCTTGTTCGGATTTATCTACATCTACCAATCTCTGTTTTTTAATCAGTATAATTCAACCCATATAAAAAACACATTATGTTTGGCGGATTTATACGTTAAAAACCGTTCCCTTTTCATAAAACTGGCGCAACACATTCTTCCTGATCATACTTCCATTCATTTCTTCCAGTGCCAGACATACCCCTATACGAAATGTAAGTATTTTTTTCCCATATTATCTGTACGTGCGCTTAGAAACGATGTGGCGAAAAGCAATATACATCGATACAGACATGTACATACCTTTATACTTTGAGTGGATATACTTGCCTATTGAGATATAAACGCTCATCTCTTAACCGATGTAAGTCTACGCTTAAACACGTAGAAAGCGACGCAGACACACGCCTCCGTTCGCGCACTGGGACGCACACACACACGACAAGCGATAATAATGACTGGACCTGTTCGAGTGACGCACGCATGATGACGAGAACCCTTGGGATCATATGAGAAGGCAGCTTAGGTTTCTGAGCTGTGACTCCTCTGCTGGTTGTAATTCTATCCAGTGTATTCCTTGTCCCATGTCCGTACACAACAGGCAACTGATATCGCTATCTCCTTGTATGAGTATAAGGAGGAATGGTGGAGAATAGCGCCCCAATAAGACGTGTCCGGCGTTAATGGCGACAAGACAACGACTTTTGTTTTCAGCTTTTCTCATTTATCTGTCATTGTTTTCTAAACTCCTACAACAAGGGAGAAATTATTTTTATGGGTACATTTTTTTTTCTTGTTTTTGTTTTGTTGTGTTAATCGCTTCTTGCCATAATTTGGTCTTAGTTCTGAGTCGACACAGAACGAAGACAGTGAGGCTCCAGCAAGAGTGACCGTCTCATGGGCATATCAGTGAGAATTATTTGCAAAGTATTAACTCGGGGAACGAAATAGCTCAATATCTTAGATGAATATTTGCAGAGTTCAGTATAGTCTGACACAAGGCTACAGAAGGAGAGCAGTCTCACCCATCAAAAACTGTTTTCCAAACTCTGACGGCACTGACTCCAGTGATCAGTCAGAAGCATTTTATCGATCCACAAAGACATATTTCTTGTGATGACCTCAAATACTGACTCCTTTCAAATCTTGGCAGTAAAAGAGGGAAATTGAGAACCTTAATCCGTTTCATTCCCGAAAATTGCAAAAGAAAAAACTATTAAAATATTACTTATCAGTATATCTAGCTATTTCAAAATTAAAATGATAGGACCTAACTGCCAATCTAGTACTACGTTTTTCTTTAATCATTTCACTCTAAAAAAGGTGAGAGTGAGAAAGAATTAACAGACCTTAGAAGGAACCAGAAACCCAATCCTAAACAGGAAATAATGGATGCATTTAGAGGTTTTCTTTCTCCTAGACCGGTTGCCACACAAGGCTATAGAACCCAGTCTTTCCTACAGTTTACCTATAGCTGGAAGAGCTGGATTCATATATTTCCCAAGGGTTTTAGCACATAAATAACTGTAATGAACTCGACTGGAATTTGAGGACTTCAATGTGGTGTAAAGGTTAACGAGCTTGTCCCGCTAGATCAGTTATAACTGAGTAGTGAGTTCGATCCTCACTAGATGATCCATACTTTCAAGCTTGGGCCTATATCTAAGATATAGATCATTTAGAGTACTTTGACATTGGGTAATGGTTAACAAGCTCGACTCGTTAGGTCAATGCTCCTCACTTTTGGCCTTGTAACACGTGTACGCTAGTGTTATAACATTAATACAGTTCCGTAAGTGAAATGAAAATCTTTCAGGAGAGTGTCTCAAAAACTACAAATGTTTGCTTGGAAAAATCACAATCCCTGTTTAGAACCATTCGTTGCAAAACTTCTCCACGGATTTAGTGACTTAATAAAAATATAAATATGTAACTTTACTCTTTTTCTTGTTTCAATGACAAGGCGATAAAGCCACAAAGACGCAAGGGTTTACTAGAAGTGAAAGAGAATGAAGAGACTTTAGTGAGGAGAAAGGACAATAAAAGAACATCATTCAGGAAGACAGAAGATGGTGATAAAGCCACTAAGACGCAAGGGGTTACTGGGAGTGAAAGAGAATGAGAAGATTTTAGTGAATAGAAAGGACAATAAAAGAACAGGCTTCGGGAAGTCAGAAGATGGAGATAATGCCACTAAGACGCAAGTGATTACTGAGAGGGAAAGAGAATAAGACTTTAGTGAGGAGTAAGGACAATAAAAGAACAGAATTCACGAAGACAGAAGATGGAGATCATGCCACTAAGACATAAGGGGTTACTGGGAGTGTAAGATTGGCCAATTGTGTGGCGCTGTTAAAATCTATAAATAGGCAAACATTTCCTCACTCACTCTCTTCCTCCCCTTGCTCTAAGATGTAGCACTACGTGGTAATTTTGTCCCCGCTGGGAAACGTTTGTTCCCACTTCCCACTTTCCAACTCATAGTGCTCGCATGTGTCTTTCAAAAGCCTCCACCAATAAAGTAAGTCAAACTTTCTCTTTGGTTATTCCAACACAGTGCAAGGTTGACTTGAGCGTGACCAGTGTAACTTGCTTCCTCTAACTAGAAAACGGGCATTCCATAATCATGGATAAATCTTCCAACTATGAAGCTTTTCTTTGGTTGTTCTAAATCTGCACAAGGCTGACTTGAGCTCGGACCGTTAATAAGATGTTTATACTTATATACATTAACATTTTGGCCAAGAGGAAAACGTAAAAAAACCCAACAAGAATTTTATTTCAATACAGTTTATATATAAAAACGGATAAACGCAGTAAGCCAAGTTTTTGTATGCACCTTCTAAAATTTTTGAGATGAGGTATTGTATCTATTTACACTATTTACATTGTTCGGACTGTGGTCTTCATCTTTATTGTCATATTTACGACATTTCGGCCGTTGAACGCTCCGACCTTCTTTAGGATCTGTCTCTATTTCTTAGATGTGGCATGGGACCTATTTACACTATTTATATTGTTCGGACTGATGCCTCCATCTTTATTGTCATATTCACGACTTTTCCACCGTTGTACTCTCCGGCATTTTTCAGGATCCTTCTCTATTTCGGAGATGTGGCATTGTAACTATTTACACTATTTACAATGTTCGGACTGTGGTCCTTAACTTTATTGTCATATTCAAGTCATCTCGGCCGTTTTACGCTCCGGCCTTCTTCGGGATCTGTCCCTATTTTCGAGATGTGACATTGGAACTATTTACAATATTTACATTGTTCGGACTGTTGTCCCCATCTTTATTGTCATATATATATATATATATATATATATATATATATATATAATTATTTATTAAAGTGCTAAGCTCTGTTCCAGTGAACAGAGCTTAGTACTTTAATTCAAATAATTATATTGAAGTTTTGAAACATGAGAACTCTTATGTAGCGTTGGAATCATATTTTTAAATGAATAATTATATTTATGCTCTACTTTTGTATCGAGCACTATTTTTTAAAAATAATAACAAAAATACTAAAAGAACTTTGGATTATTTACCTAACGATTTCTTTCCTATTTTCTATATATTTTTACACACACACACACACACACACACAAATATATATATATATATATATATATATATATATATATATATATATATATATATATTTGGTTGGATTGATGTGAGTTTGTGACACGGGGTTTCAAACTCACATCAATCCAAATATGTTAGCTCTATCTCTGATATTGAGCGCTTTCTAATAAATACTATATATAATATATAAATAATTATATATATATATATATATATATATACACACAGACTTTTCACATATATATATGTGTGTGTGTGTGTGTGTGTGTGTGTGTGTGTGTGTGTGTGTGTGTGTGTGTTGTGTGTGTCTCTGTGTGCGTGTCTGTGTGCAAGAGAGAGAGAGAGAGAGAGAGAGTAAAGTATATTTGAGCAACAAGTCCAATTTTAAAAAAATCGACAAGTTCAATCTGTTTAAATTTTTAATTGTATTTTTCCGATTTGGAGTCTGGTGTTGAGTATTGCATACAAAGTTGTGGATAAGCTTTCCGAAGTTCATTTCTTTTTGTTCAAGTACTTTCGACTTTCGCGGTCATTATGAAGAACTGATGTGGTGTCTGTGTGGTAGTTAGAATTCCTTTGTCTGGATCCTAGTATTCTTTGGGAAGCTAGAAGTTTGGAATGGTCTAGCGTGGCGTCATGTATAACAGCTAATAAAAATCTACGAGATTAGAACCAAGGTCTCATCCTTTTACACTTGAATTGTCTGCATGTAACCGTAAGTTTCATGCTAACACTTCCTTCTGTCGCACTTCTTGGTTGTGGAGCTCACTTTTAACTTCTTGCTTCCCAGTCAAGTTTGATCTTCAAAAATTTACGTGCAATGTCAAACGTTGTCTTCTGTCTGCTTAATTCTTGTTCTTTTGTTGTTCTCTCTCCTCAATAGTAGTTTTTCTCATATTCTCTAACATTCAGTAACCCCATTTGCATCTTAGTGGCTTTAGGGCCTTGCTTAGGGGGGTTAATTTAAAGGCAATATCAACTATTATCTTTTATCTCCTTAATTCTTGTTCTTTTATTGT